CCTCCAAAAAGTGTGTGATTCAGATGCAATTTTCACATGATGCATTCAAAAAGTGTCACAATCGCACTCAAACACCCATGACTAAGCAATAAATGCGAAACGTTGGGTAATTTCTTGCGTTTTTATCCCTTTTAAAATGAATTCAAAAGTTTAGGCCATACATGCACTTATATGTCACATGGTGTGCAAGGTTGAACTTCCTACCTTTCAAGGTCAGGTCACCAGGTCACTTCGAATGACCCAGCCTCAAATCACTTTTTTGCAACTTTGTCACCGTGTCAGAGCTACAGTAGATGACGGAGGCCTTTGAAAGTCGCAGGATGTAACGAGGTCATTAGTAGCTACAATTTGCATATCTCGGAATTTTGATATCGATGACCTAAGGCTAGGTCAATTTCTTGACCTCCCCATGCCATTATAAGTCAATGGGGGAAAATTAACCCCCTGTTTTTTTCACTAAAACGCGTTGTAGTGGCCCAATATACCATGGATGGCCTTATATACGATCAACCTTGACTACCTTGAGGCCTTTTTTGCTCTTGGGCAACTGGAAGTTCATGTGACGTCATCAAGGGTCACCAAAGGTTTTTTGCTAATAACTCCTCACAGGAATAAGGTACCGCCGCGCGGATGGTCGCACCGTATTCAGCTCGTCAAGGCGTATCGAACGATATACAAGTTGACCTTGAGGTCACGTGACCTGAGGTCAACCTTTGACCTTCACTTTTCGAGGTCAACACATATATGATTCGATTCGGATTGACGAGAGGATCACGATGGTGCCATTAGTTTGTTCCTAGCTTGGTTACTTCGAAAGTTATTCGAGAAAAACTCCTCATATTTTGCGCCACCATATTGACTTTTTTTGGCCCCTGTGACGTCATCTTTGACCTGACCTGAAAACCTGACCTGAAAACCTGACCTGAAAATTACCTTCGTAAAAATTTAGGCCTTGTCTGGGCGTACCCCATGCCGTTTACCGCTAGTCTCTATCTTGCTTCGTTCTCGAGATCTCAGGTGGGGGGGGGGGGGGTCAACCGCCCCCGCTCCGTCGGTTCTAAGCTGGCGCAGACCCCCGTCGGTGCGCGGGTTAACTCACGCCGGGCCGGGGGGGGGGGTGTTTGCAGTTTGCACACACCCTCCCCTGCGGTTTTTGGCACACCTGTTTATGCATCTTTTCCACACAGGTTGTGAAAATTTCAGACCCAGGGCTCTCAAGGTCAGGTCAGCAGGTCAGGTCAAGTGACCTCACCTCAGAAAAGACGAGGATCCAATTTCTTTACATCAGTGGACTACAAATACACGTAGCTATCAAATTACTGCTGTTTCGAATTTTCGAAATTTTGAAACTTTTGAAAAATATTTTTTTACAGTTCCAAAATATATATTTTTTTAAGAAGTTTTTTATTTTTCGCAAAACCCCGGAATATGTGTGATTGAACACACACTGATGAACTACTCTAGCAGGTTTTAGCCCAATATCTTTAAAAAATAACCAAGTTATTAGCATTATTGTCAAAATTTTACAATCATATATTTTTAAAAACCATTTTTCAGTACGTTTTTGACATCGTACAGCAAGCTAAATGGTAGGGGAGAGTGGGGAAAGATGCCCAGGGTTTGACTATGTCATATATTATTCGAAAATGACGATCAGAAAGCCAAAACTTGGAGTTTCAACGGAAGCCGACATCATTTTTCTCCAAAAATATCACACTTTCGTGACTGAAATATGATAACTTTTTTTGCTATTAAGCATTTTCCTGAAGAAACGAAAGGGGGCATCTTACCCCACAGGGTGGAAAAGACGCCCCCTGGCGTTGGGTAAGATGCCCCCTGCACTATAAGTGACATAAATATGCACGTGAATCGCCTGAACGAATCAGTAGTCCCTTCGAGCCTGCAGTAGACACTAAACGTCATCGTAAGGGCCCTCAAAAGTAGTCGTAAGGGGCTTCAGAGGTCATCGTTAGGGCCATCATAGTCCAGCGTGGCCAAACAAGCCTCCGTGGTGGCGTTCGGAGACCACTGTGGGGCCCTTATAGGTCTTCATGATGCTTGAGGGCCCTCGAGCCCATCGTGGGGACCTCAGATGCCAGCGCGGCCCGTGGGGCCAACGTGGGAGCCCTCAAAAGATGTCGTGAGGGGCCCTGAAACCAATAATGGGGCCCACAGAGGCCGTCGTGAGGGCTCTGAGAGTCAGATGCCGCCCAAAAAGTCGCTGTGTGGGCCGAGAGACCGGCATGGGGAGCACCCGACCGTACCGGACTCTCAATAGTCCCAGATCGGCTTTTGTCTCTCATCACAAGTATGTAATAAATAATTTGACGGGCTGCTTGAAGGACAGCCTACGGATTTAGGGGTCTTTCCCCATCAGGACAGGGGGCATCTTACCCCAAGGTACCGAAGTAACATTAAATCAGCACAATTTGTTAGCCAGAAAACTACACCCTGAAACAAACTGTTTGGGACACAGTACACGCATGCTAATGTATCACGACTAGAGCTAGGGACGCAAAAATTATCTACCTTCTTTGATATTTACAATGTTTTGACGCCAAAATATTTTTTGAAAGCAGCAAATAAAAAACATGCAATCACCAGCCAGCCGTTGCCCAACTGAGCTTCGCAAATTTTTGTGCAGTTAACAAGGCAGGCTTCCGCTTTACGCTAAGAACATTAATTTCCAGGTTCGATTCTTTGTTTCCCCGCTAGAGGGGGTGGGGCGTCTTTCCCACCCTGGGCATCTTACCCCACTCTCCCCTACCATCGTGTTCCTGAGCTCAAACTGCATCTAATAGGCACATTTATTGTTTAAAAAAAAAATCATTTTCAAAATTTGACCTTTTCTGACCTGAAAGTAACCCGAGTCCTGACCTCCGGTAAATTCAGCTGAAAATGACCTCAAATGACACAGACGACATTATTTTCGATATCTACGAGTAAAATGGACCGAAAACATGCGTCACGTGACCGATACATGATACACAATTTTCGTGACCTAGGATGACCTGGCCTTGACCTGAAAAATTCGAAGTTAAAGTTCGGTACTCTCAGGGTATCTAAGGCATATATCAAGGAGTACGTAACCCAAAAAAGAGCCTGATCGGACTTGTTAGCCGGCGGCCAGAGCCTAAATTGTGAACAAGCAAAAATGCCGATAATGTTTACTTTGACCTGACCTGTGACGTCATCGGTGACCTCGACGTCAATAAAAATAGGTTTCCCTCAACAGTTTTTCCAGGGCCATCAGACACTGTTTGAATTTTGACGATCGGCCCAGTAGTTTCGAAGATAGGAGGGGGCTCTGGAGAGCCCCCCCCCCAGTCACTCGCGTTATGGAAAATACCCCAGTCATGCACGGGTTAACCCGCGCCCCGTAATGCTATCGGCGGACCCTGCCACCCGTGGGGTGGGAAAGGGGGCGTTTCGGCCCCCTTTGGATCTCGGAAAGTGACCGGCCGATTTTCACAATTCAAACGGCGTTCGATAGTCCCACCGGGGAACCTTGTGACCCAATTTAAGAAAAAGGCATGTTATTGAAAATCATCGATGGAGACTTGTCTAACACATATTTTGCTATTTGAGGCTACTGATACCAGGCACAGACATCAGGTCACTGAGGGTCATAATATGAACTAGTCTAGTGTCATGTGATACATGCTTTATAGTTCACTTAACATGAGAAATGCGATTATGTGGGTTAGTCGACCCTTGGGACCAGTTTGGGTTACGTTTTGGTGAAGGTCAGGTCAACGTCAGGCTAAATTAGGTCAACTTTGAAAATTGATATTTTTGCATAAAACGGGTATCGCTTCGATGCAGCTCGTCATGGGGAGTTCAACGGTGGTCTTCGTTTTGCGCCACATGGTCTAGAATTGCTAAAAACTGAGTTTGAAAATTTGACTTCGCCAATTTTGAACTTTTTTTGTCATAGCTTGGCCAAAAAAGAGGTATCGATTTCAAATTTGGCCCGTCGACGGAAGGCGGTAGGGACAATCAGTTACCACACATCTTCCGTTTTTTTAACTCTTTTATTTTTAGGTATTATTTAAAAGTACTTTGTTTTTCTGGGACAGAAACCAACAATGTAAAAAATCCGAGATAGCAGTACCATAGCCTTAGTAATTCTACACCTTTTAGGTCTTGAACAACTTTTTTTGTATCTTCAAAGCTGTAGGCCTGACAGCTTGTCCCGCAAAACCTTTTTTGGGTCGAAAATGGCAGAACATGACATCATTCTGACCTCATTTGTGGCCAACCTATCATAGCCTTTGAAAAAAATGGTCACAATGTGTAAAATTGATGTTTGGAGCCTCAGAGGGGTCCTGAAAGTTTAGTGACAATATCTGCAGTATGTAGTTTGGAAGATATCTACCGAAAACCGGCCCTCCTGAGGGGGCCGGTCGGCCGGCCGGGCGGGCGGATCGCCGGCCGTTCGCGTTGGGTGGACGATTCGTTCGCCCGGTCGGTGGTTAGGGGGCGCCGTCCGACGAAGTTGCAGTGCCGGGCCGTGCCGGCGGGGGCTGGCAGCCGCCGAGAGTGGCTTGTATTCTGGTGGCCCGAGAGGCTGGATTCATTGTGGTGTGCTCTTCGTTTCCTGTGCTTTGTCATGAGATGCGCTCGTCCTCAGTTGTTTGCCTTCTAAATAAACGTACGGGAAAAAGATATCTACGGAAAAGGACAGAAAGGGACAGTTTCGCCCCCCCCCCCTCCCCCCCTACGGGATGCAGGTTACTGACCAAACCTGAACAGCTGTTTGCCACTGACAATTTTAGTATTATCATTACTTTGTCTTGACATTGCTGTTCTCAAAGGGAAAGAAATGCTGCAAATCATTTATTGCTTTCAACATTTCTTCCAGATAATTCAAACTATTTTATGCAGCATTTCTTAGGCTGAGGTCTCCAATACCAGAGCACATATCCAAATTTTATCTGGAACACCAAGAGCCTGCAAAACCAGGAATTGGCTTCTTGAAAACAATGCAAATGTCTCACCTTCACTAACCAGACTCCTCTTGAAGCATTGGTGCAGTCCAGCTCTCCTTCTTGGATCTGTGTTGCCATCTCCTTTACAGAATTTCAGACAAGGACTCTGCAACCTGCGGAAGAAAAAAAGTTGAATATTGGCTTGCCCAGGATATCTTTGAAAAACAATAACCATAAAATGACTATGAGCCTATGGGTCTGTTCCAGCAGTTGTTCCAACCTTCTCTAAGTCCCTCAGACCCCTCTTGTTTGAGGCATGTCATGCAAATGTGACTTTTTTTACAACATGGATTTGAGCAATGTAGAAATGATTGTGGGGATTGAGACGGATATGATATTTTTAATAGTAATTCTCAATATTCATCTATGGTCTTTTTCTTTGAGAGCAATGTTTATCTCAAAATCAATGCTTAAGCACCATAAATTGCTGACCATTACAGCCCACCAACTCAAACAGCTGATTTCCCCATAAAAGTATTCCTGCCCCAGCTCTAAAATGACTCTTGAAAGCTCATCCAACCTCCTCAGATATTTTTAGATTAACCACTGGAACAGACCCAATGACTCAGTAAAAACCTTCAGTTTCTAGCCCATCTGTTTATTCATCAGCACAAGGGATGATATGTACGATGTGTGCCCAGTGGGCATCAAGCCATTAGTGTCAGAGGTGACAACTACTGGCTGTAGCCAGGCTGTTTCAGTCATTACCTATTGATGCGGACTTGGACGCAGATGGAGAAAGAGTTGTGACAAACAAACTAGTAAGGTAGGTAGGCACTCAATCAAGTATATATGCCAGAAAGATGGGCCTTATCAGCTTGAATCCAATTAAATACTTAAGCTTCCCAAGGCTGTTTGGTCCATCCAAGGTATAACTATAAAAACACTGGGTTCATCCAAGGGCGGAATTTGGCAAACTATAGGAATCTTGGGCCAAACTTATCTATAGGAGTCAGTACCTAGGTTAGGCCAAACTAGGCCAAGCCACAGTGTAATAAGTAGTATTTATATACACTGTGATAAATAGGCTTAACATCACTGGGGGCTGAAGGTACGCGACTGTTCAGTAAATTTCCATCGTGTCCGGGCATTTCTTTTGTAACCATTAACCAATTAGCTTATGGAATTTGCATAGCCTGTAAAATTCATTCGAATGTCACCATCGATACCGTCAAAGATGGTACACGAGCAGCACAGTATATCAAGATACCTTGAATATACCTATAAGAAACCAGTGTATAGCACTATATATGACCTTGGTGTATAGGGCCTTGAGCAGCACCAAGGCTATAGAACTCCAGCACTGAACTCTTGACCAAGGCCCTATATCTCTTGACTGAACTCTAATCTTGACTGTAAATGACCGAGGCCAAGACGAGAGGCGAAAGCAATGCCTGTGCCTATCCCTGTGCCGCCTGGGCACTTTCGCCACGAACGAAACAGAACAGCCAGAATTGTCGCATTTTATGGGCAGCCAAATTTAAAAAAAAAATTTCCTTTACCAATGATATTTCAACTTGATTTCAACACTAATCTTTACTTTCGCCCGTATTGGTGTTTTGCCAGCCGCGAACGTATAAGGGGGAGAGGGGAGAGCTCTGTTGAACTCCGGACTCCCCTTGCCGTTTCGCCCCTGATCGAGCTAGAGCTTCGTGGAGAAAACGAGCGTGTTGCCCGTGACGAGAGGAAGCCGATGATACCCAATTGCATTTAGAAGTTTGGTTTATTGGTTTATTGGTTTACATAGCCTTGCCCAATTGTAACCCGCGCCCCGCTGGAGGGGAGGGGCAGAATCTGCCCCCCTCCCGTTTTTCGCCATTAACTTCTAAACGCGTTACGCCAGCGACGTCAAACTTTCAGTACCTAATCATACATCAATTTGACACGTTCCCTGAAAATTTGAGCGAAATCCGTCGGATTTTTTTTTTGAAAATGAAGTTTTAGTGACGTCATGTTCGCCATTTTCGCCTTTAAAAAACGGTAAAATTTCAAGCACCGCTAACATCTTTATTTTTAAAGGAATCAAGACGTAACAAAAAAAAGGTTATACGTGATTCTACTTTGTTTATCAAATATGAAATAGCTATCTCGGTTTTTTGGAAATTTTGGATTTTGCCCCAAATTTTTTTTTAACTGACTTTTTTTGGGAAAATAATTATAAAATCCAAATTTTGAGTGTATCGAAAAACCGGAATATATATCAGAGAAGTATTCTTTATGCACCTACATACCAATTTTCAGAAGAATCGGTTAAAAAATGTGGGAGTTATTCAAAATTTTATGACGTCACGACACACAAAATTTTTGAAAAATGATTTTTTTTGGAAGTTCTAGACTTCGTACGGAAACAAAAATAGCACCATTTGATTTGCCGTGAAAAACTACATCAGATAGACACCTTTTTAGGCCTTAACAACCAACTTCAAAATTTGACCTCACTTGACCTGACCTTGACCTGACCTCGACCTGAAATTCATCCAGAGGTGGTCCATATCACTTATTGAGTGTGTCTATTGAATTCTATGAATAAAATGACCCATAAAACATGTGTCGCACGTGCCCTTTTCTATATTTTGTTTTGGTGACCTGACCTGACCTTGACCTTGACCTTTGAATGATATTGTATGCAACGAATATTGTTTTGGTAGCCTAAGAACACGTTTTGGGCAATCAGTCTCAGTCCATTCTTTGGCGACTACGGACACGGTGCAAGGCCGATAATGTAGAAACTTGCATTTTGTACCCTTGACCTGACCTTGACCTGACCTCTGACCTACTTAAGCAAAAAAATTGGGCTCTTCAGATCCGCCTTGTTGAGAGTTTTCGATTGCCGTTTTCCCCGTCTTTCTACGACCATCGGTCCGAAGTTAGACAGGGGGGGGGGGCAGAATCTGCTCCCCCCCCCCCAGCAGGGCGCGTATGGCTGAATAGCCCAGCGGGGCGCGGGTTAAGGTCCTAGGTCATTGGTTGACCTTCCAGGTCAGGTCAATGACCCCAAAAGTCGGGAAAATCGGGACCTATAATTAGATAAGTAAAAGAAATTGAACTTTCCCTCGACAGTAAAAATGCAAAAAGCCGAATAATGTATTGAAAAAAAACGTGAGCTTTCGGCCACTGGCCTTTAGCAAACCAACGATACAGCAATATTGGTTATACCTAACATTGTTTGTAACGTTGGTTTGATAAAGGCCAGTGGCCGAAAATTCACCGTTTTTTTTAATGCCTACATTATTCGGCTTTTTGCATTTTTAATGTCGAGGAACAGGTCAATTTCTTTTACTTATCTATAGTCTGGCAAACCGAAAGAACGGAGTTACCCAGCCAGCAATTCGCTTGGGCTGAACTGTGGCAGGCGTCGGGCAGCTTGGGCTTAGCTTGGGTTTGCCCACTTTGATCAAATCCAATGCATTTTTTACTAGGGCTGAGCTGGGGCATGCCGCAGCTATGCCCACGTGCGGATAGCAGTAGCTCAGCCCGACATCTGCCAGCGCATCCAAAACAGGCTTAACTTGGGCGGAGCGCGGGCTGATCAAGCTGGCTGTGTCCTTCGGCTAACTGGAGTAAAGCCCGAGTTTAGCCATACTTGTTCGGCTGTTCGCGCATGCGCAGTTCTGCGCCAATCATGTGCAGCGTTTGTGACAGTCTGTGCGCTGTGCGACGAAACGACACACCGGTGTTGGGGCATTTGGTGGTTGATGTTTGGGCGCGTGTGACAGCGCGAAGAAGGGATAGTGCTCACTGCTCTTATCAAGTGGACTGGCATGGAGTTTTACGGTAGGTAAGTGTATTGAAGGGTGCGCTTGATCGTATGTAAACGTCATGATTTTGACTGAGTTTGACGCCATCAAACATGAAGCTGAATAGCTGTTCAGCCTGGCGACTTATACCTTCGCTCAGAAAAGCTGCATTCCGTGCCTTTATATCTTTGTGAAATACCAGCACTTCTGACCCAGGAAAATGAAATACAAAACACAAATATTTATCTACTTATCACCGAGCACGCTCATGCTCTGTCCGCATTTAAAATCAAATGAACATTTTATACGGATCAATGAGAAGTGTTTTTACAGTATTAATGGATCAATAAGTTATTTTTCAAGCAAACATGCAATGTAAATTAAACCAATTAATCTCTTTTTCAGGTACGTACCATTAGAGCAAATGGTTCCAAAAAATGGAATACCAGGACCGGGTGGACGCCGCAGTCGCCCTCGCCAAGTGGTTTAGCGGAAACTGCCTGCTTATAATTAAGTAGGTATACCTACATACAGGGTGATCCAAAAAATTTGGAACCCCTAACTTAAAATGTCTGTAAGTCCGAAATTATTCACTTTATTGACAAATTGCAAACACCATTAGAAAGAGCATTAAATCCTCTATAAAATCACGTCAAATTAGTTAACGTATGTTGTAAAGCATTGACACACTAGTCACTATTATCTTTTGGAATGAGCGTCAGAAAACTGAGTGAAACGAAATCGCCAATTGTTAACAAGGCACTGAAGTCCGTTAGCACTCCATCTGTTGTTTTTTGCGAATAACACCACATCCAATTTCAATTTTATTACATAAAAATTTACACAGAAGCACACAATAGAACAGATACACGCGTCCTAGCTTCCGCTGTTCATCACAGCATGTGCTCAAACCGAGCTCCGTTGGCCGTCACGCAGGCCTGCAGTCGCTTCGGGACGGCTCCGACGGCGCAGGCCAGCAGTCTCTGGAACAACTGATCCCAGCAGGCCGTCAGCCTTTCCTTCAGCTCCTCTATGGTGCTGATCCTCTGACCTCTATACATAATTCGCTCCAGTTCGCTCCATACGAAGAAGTCCAAAGGGTTGAGGTCAGGACTCTTCGGTGGCCAGGCATCTGGCTCGATGAAGGCCGGGCAGGCCTGTTCCAGAAACTCGACCACTGAGTGGGCCGTGTGGCACGGAGCACCGAATGACTATTTTTTTTTTTGCTCCTGTTGAAATTTAAATTCCTTACAATAGCACGTGAATGAGCTATTTTTATTCATGAACATCCAACATGCGACATGGTCAGAACAGCAAACCGGAAATCACTGATTTGCGCATAATGTTCGAAACCGTTTCAGTGAGTTTCGTGACACAAATTTCATAGGCATATAACTAGGGCAATATTTGTAATAATAGTTAAGTTCAATCAGCTTGGTTTTATAGAGAATTGAACGCTCTTTCTAATGGTGTATGCAATTTGTCAATAATGTGAAAACTTTCGGACTTACGGACATTTTAAGTTAGGGGTTCCAATTTTTTTGGATCACCCTGGGAAACTGCGCCGAAAGATGGCCGACCACCTATTGCAGATGTGTGTGTGTGTGGAGGAGCCAGACGCCTCCAAAGCTCCCATTCACCAGAGTGAAGTTCCTTATAAGCGATTGTTTGCTTATTGCTTTATGTCTTATGAGCGATTACTTGCCGTCCTTACTTTATGCTTTCAGTTGAGTGTTTAACCAAGTATTATGAACGGGGAGGGAGGCTAGCGGGCCTTGTGATTGTTTTATAGTTTTGATGGCGTTTTTTCATGACTCATGCCATATTACTGCTGCAGTTTGCAGTCCACTGTTTCATGTATTTGTGTTTCATTTGACGTGTCTGTAGTCGTTTGAAATATACATTCAATCAAAGTCAACCACTACTTTCCTTTTGCAATGCTCGAGCCTCGATGACCGGTTAACAGAGCATATGAGTGACCGTAACAATTTTAAATATGCATTGAAACCGCACAACCTGCTGAAAGTGCATTGGCTGCTCCTTGCTACTTGATCCAGTGTGAAGCAAAAGCAAGATGAAGTCAAGTCGAGACTTGAGAAAACAGGAGCCATCACTCGAGCCGAACCCGAGCAAAGCCACAGCAGTTTGCAATGTATAAACCCCATTCACTTCTATGGCTTAAGTCGGGATAGACAGGGCACACAGAGTGGGCTTGCCGGAGTTCAGCCCGCTCGGGCCCAGAGTAATCTCCATTATATAAATGGATTCACTGCTCGGGCTTAAATCGGGCTAACGCCAATCGTCGCTCAACTAGGGCTAAACTACGGCTGTCCGGAGCTCGCAGAGCGGGCATACCTCCGGCAGAGCATGGGCTTTAGTCGGCGTATTTGTGTCATACGCCGACTTTAGCCCAAGCCCTAGCCGACTTTAGCCCGACTAAAAATCTCGGGCAATCCGCACTTGAGCCTGCTTGGGCCCGGAGCAAAATTGCTGGCTGGGTAAAGCGCCTGAATCACTTAGCACGTGTTCTGATCACATGAAAGTATGGTTCGGAGAAACTCGTGTGAAAAGCTTGAGAGAAAATATGCTCTCATGGTATAACTGCACATGCGTCAATGGCCGGTGCACTTTAACCCTCGCCCGTATTG